ATTCCTGCTCCATTGAATTCTGTACCTCCAATGACACATGGAATGTCGAAGCTGCCCGGATCATCCCTCTTTTCTGGTAATTTATTCTGAATCACAGCACTACATTCAGAAGTAAGGGTTACCTTCTCTAGATCAGCCCATTTCCGCTTCTTTGTCAGCAACTCCCTTAAGAATTTAGCATATGTAGGCATCTGTTCAAGTGCCTCCGCCAAGGGTATGTTAATCTGAAGTTGCTTGAAGATATTCACAAATTTCTTGAAGTTTGGGTCTTCCATGGGCTTCATTAACCTTTGAGGGAATGGTGCGGAAGGTTCATAAGGTTTTACCTTTTCATTCTTCAATTTTTCCACTTTTTGAGGTACACGGGCAGCATGCTTTTGCACAGGCAAATTGCATGCGGTTTGCCTGTGCAAGTCAGATTTTTCAGCTTTTGCACTTTCTTCATCTTCTACCTCTACAACTCCTTCTTTTTCGGATTTTGTCGACTTCCTTGGACTCTCTGGATCCCCCAAAGCCTTTTCACTCCTCAATGTGACTGCTACAACCATGGCATCCTTTGGATTCCTCTCGGTATTAGCCGGTAATGTCCCAGGAATCCTGCCTTGCATATCTGCCAAAGTTTGAGCCATCTGTCCCATCTGCCTCTCCATAGCTAGCATATAAGATTGTAAATTATTGTTGATGGCTAGCTGTTGAGTGACAAATTGATCCAGGCCCTTGAAATTATTGTCTGTTTTCTGCATATGAGCCAAAATCAACTCCTCCAGCTGGGGCTTCTTCTCTGGTTGAGGCTGCTGCTGTTGAAAACCAGGAGGTGGGATGTTTCGAACACCAACTGGATTATTGTTTGACCATGACATATTGGGGTGATGTCTCCATTGAGGGTTATATGTATTTGAATACATACCACCCTGACCTTGACTTCGCAGATTATTGATATACTGAACATCTTCCAACTGAGCAGCTCCCAGCGAACACATATCCCTATGATGAGGACCCTCGCAAAGTTCACATGAAGCAACCTCCTCTTGTCTACCAAGAGCAATCTTGGCCAACCTTCGTTCGAGTGCATCGAACTTAGAATCCAGTTTAGCATCAATCTTTGCTTCTAAACTCGCAACTCCGTCTATCTCATGCAAGCCTCCTCTTCTTCGAATACTGGTCTCACTACCCCGTTCAGTGGCTTCTGAACAGATCTTCTCTACCAGCTCATATGCTGCTGGAGCCTCCATCCTTGTGAAACCATTTCGAGAAGCATTATTCAGGGCATCCCGGAACTCCCTTCTGATTCCATTGAAGAAAATAATGATCACGTTCCAATCTTCAAGACCATGGCTTGGGCATCTCATTAATAGCCCCTTATAGCGCTCCCATGCCTCAGTCAGACTCTCATCATCAGCCTGCTTAAAAGTAACAATATCTTCTTGCCTCTTCATTGCCAAGCCAGGTGGGAAGTATTTATCCAGAAAGACCTTCTCAAGCTGAGCCCATGTCGTGATGGAATGTGGTGTTAAGTTCTGAAACCAGTGTGATGCATTCCCTATCAGGGAGAATGAGAACATCCGAAGACGGATTGCATCATCAGATACTGTGGGGCTTTTCATGGTATCGCATATGCTCACGAACCGACGAAGATGTTCATGATGATCCTCGGTGCTAGCCCCAGAGAAAGTATACCCATTAGTGATCATGTTGATGAATGCTGGGGTAATTTCCATGGTTGCATCCCCAGCCGGAATGACAACACATAAAGCTCGGGCTCCAGTCCTTCGATTCAAGCGAGCCCTGATTGATCGATCCTCGTCTGCCATGATGACAGGCTCGACCTCACGAGGTGGTGGTGGTGGTGTAGGGACGACAGGTGATGAAGCCTGCCCTCTCTGGGTTAGGGAAGGCCTAGTAGTTGTGGTTGGCTGCTTCCCTAACTTGACCTGCTTCCTGTTCTGTCGGCAGGTCTTCTCGATCTCCGGATCTAGTGGCAGTAAATCGCCGGTCGTCCTCCTAGGCATGCACGAGGAGGATAAACCTGAAAATTCTTCTGCACACTAACACCCAGATCAAAATAGTTCACTCACAAAAATCAATAAAAATAAGATATGGCAGTCCCCGGCAACGGCGCCAAAAACTTGATAGGGCAAAAGCGTATAGCTTCAATTCCTATCTTGTAGTAAAATCGGAAAGTCCGGGTATCGTCTCTCAGGGACTGGTACAACCTTAAGATTTACCGATTTAATAGAGCAAAATATAGGTGAAAATGATTTAATGAAATTATTAACTACTAGCAAATTTAACTAAACAAGCAAATTAAAGTGTCGGGTTTAAATCAATGGGAGAAAGCTCTGGGAGAAACACTGGGATTCACTACCTATCCTATCCAGATTAATTCACATATTCCAATCAATTTAATCCAATTCTCTACAGCCAGGATATCACGAATTTGCTAGCTATCCCTGTCGAGAATTACTACGTACTAAACAATCAATTCAAATCCTACTGTCGTAGTTCAATGAATTTACTATTTAGCCTGAAGATCGATATCCTATTTAAAACCGCATAGCACCTTATTTAATCCACTGTCGCTTCGATAAGTTACCATGTCACATGAAATAGGTTCAGTTAATAGGGTTTCACTGTCGCTAATAACCTAATCAACTACGATTCATTGTATTGGTGGCCAGTCAACACAAAGCATTAAGTAATTTCATGCAATAGAGATTGGAAGAAAAGAATCATAAATCAATCCATCAAATCAAGAAATAGCTACATCCTATGGTGTTTCCCCCAAAAATCAGGGTTTAGTTCATGATGAAATTGAGATAAAACAATAGGGTTTTGTTCATCATGTTGTAAATCAACAAATAACAACTAATTCGGTTCAGAGAATCCAACCAACTAATCGCTCTCGTTGAACTCAGCTCAAGTCTTGGAGAAGTGGATCGAAATTCGCCTTTTTCCTCCCGTCCCCAAGCCCTCTGCGCTGCTGTTTGCTTTCCAAGAATTCTCCGCTCAAAAATCCCTTCCGCCGCCAGCTGCTTCTTTTCTCTCCAGCTGCCCGCGCCAAAAGAATTTCCGTCCACAAAAACCAACCAAAAACCCTCCTTCGTTAATTCCGTGTGTCCCTGAATAATAGCCGCCAATTAATTTGTTTCCAAAGAAGATTCCGTCCAATTCTACTACTCCCCAGAGAATTCTTTTCCAAGACTCCTCACTTCCCTCTACTAATTCCGTCCAAAGCAATTAATTGCTTCCCCTTCCGGAATTTCTTGGCCCACCATAACAAATAAACCTCTCCCCCGACTAATTCACTTCGGCCGCTTCTAAAAAGTGTCCCAGAGCCCAAATCCAGTTCCATGCCGCCCATTCCAGCCAAGTCCTCTGGGCCTTGAGCCCAAGTGAGTAGTCCACCAGTAATTCGATCCCGATTTATTGCTTGTGCACTCGCTCCTTTTTCGTGCTTTCTCCACCTGTATCATATCAAACTCATGGCACTAGGCAGTAATGGTTTTTCAACCATTCTCGGGTTAGCGAGCCCTAAAATAGCACAAATTGACTAAAACATACCACGAATAATCACATAAAGTCCAAGAATCCGATATATTAAAGCCGAATATCAACTGCAAACGACACCGCTTACCGAAAAACAAGAGGGCCGCGCATGGGTATTGGAGAAGGAGTTTTCTCTAATTAATTATTATTTTTATTCCTTGTTGGATTGGAAGAAGCGGCACTGAGGGGAGCTAAAACGGTGCCGCGGAGAGCTAAAACGGTGCCGCGGAATTAAAAACAATACCGCGAGGAAGCCCAACGGTACCGCAAGCAAACGACAGTGTTTAATAAAAAACAATGTCGCAAAAGGAAAAACAAACGGAGCCGTTTTGGCGCTAACGATGTCGTTGGTCGTGGACTAGTGATGGCCAAATTAGTTAATTAATATTTTAATGAGTTTTTAGCACGGTGTCGTTAGTTGAAAACGATGCCGCAAGAAGAAGGAACGACACCGCGGATTTAAAGACGATGCCGCGAGTGGGCCAAACTATGCCGCAGTTGTTAAAACGACAGCGTTAAACAAACGATGATGTTTAGTTAAGAACGGCGCCGCGGAGTGAGAGTTTGACAGCGTGCCAACAATGATGGCCGGTTTAATTAATTAATATTTTAAGGATCAGGTAAGACGGTGTCGCTTTAGCCGAAAACGACATCGTGGGAGGTCGACACCGTCGCGGTACTGAAACGATGTTGTTTAATTAAAAACAACCTCAGAGTTCAGCAATGGTGGATTTTGGCTCAGTGACGTTTTGGACCAAGTTGCCACGTGCTCAAGCGGTTTTCGCACTCGTGGGAGTTACGCAACAAGGAGGAAGTTGCCTGCACGGTTGACAGGAGTGAAGACGTGGGAGACAAAGGCGCGAAGGCGGTTACTACGACGAGGAGAAGCGCGAAGTATAAAGATTGGGAAGAGAGAGAAGTTAGAGACGGCAAAATCAAATCACAAACTGCACCTACGCAGATTTATCTTTTTTCTCTCTAGTTTGGTAGAACCGCTCTGTCAAAGAACTCCTTTGCAGAGTTGTAGCTTGTAGTCGTAGTTGCGGAGCTCTCCAGAGGAACCTCCATAGGAGTAGAGGTAACGTAACTTAGAACACTCCCGGTTTGGTTTCTCATTTCCCGTTGAACACCCTCGTTCGAACATAGTGTAGACACCACTTTTTGTCCGGGTTAAAACATATTTAACTAAATAAAATTTGATTTTTGGTTGGGATTTGCAATAGCAAATTTCTAGCTAAAACGAATTATAGTGCTTGGGTTGGGTCTAGTCTGCCATAAGTCAATTAGATTAGCAATAGCCAATCTCAATTGATACAGCCTATTAGTGATGAATTGATGTGTTTAGATGAATTAGGCTTAAGGTCGATGTTGGGTGTCGGGTGTCACGAAATTTAATTGATTATTAACACATTAGGTCTTGTAACAATTAGATCGCAATTTCAAAATAATAGAATGTTAAGTCAACAATTTTATTAAAATAAATAGAATGCTAAATAACCACAATAATTATTACCATACACAATAATTACATTGCTAAACTACCATTACATAACACTAATTACACCACACAATAAAAGAAGTCAGGCTCAATTTAAACCAAAAGTCAATCTGGGTCAAAACCCAAAGCCTCCAACTCAACCCATACCATCTGAACCAAGCCGGTTCGATCCAACCCAATCTACAACCTACTTACCACTAGAGGGCGGCTCCTACATACCCTCAAAGCCAATTATATGGTGCCACCTCTGCAGTTTTTTTACTATAAAAAGAGCCCTTCAGCTCTTGAAAAGGGGGGAGACAACAAGAACATTCACTGAAGAATAAAGCTTCCTTCCTTCTTGCTCTTTCTTCTACTCTTTCTCTGCTCCTTCCTCCTCTTCCTCAAAATACCAAACAGAAAAGAGAAGCCGAAAATAATTAAACAAAATAGAAAAACAAAGACAAACATTCCCTCACCCTCTTCTTCATACTGTCACCTTCTTTCCCCTTTCTAATTTTATTTCTTCTTCTTCCACCTCTTACTCAACCTGCACAAACAGAAGCCATAAGAAGTTACAAAAATTCCCTCACCACAAGCATCCTACCACTGCCGCCAACTTCAGCAAAGCAAAAAAAAAAAAAAACCCAAGAAGGAGACGGAAAAAGGGAGGTCAGAATCATAATCAACTTACAAATAAAGGTTGGTAGCCAAAACCAACCATCATCATCTTAATCATTCATCTTCTTCAACCATCTCATTATAAGTTCTTTTCAAAATAGAAACTCAATCAATCCCATTCAAACTACAAGCGGCTTGATTTTGTTTAAAAGAGGAATATACCCAATCTATTCCAAGCAATTCCAATCTGACTACTCTCATCTACTAATCATTATCGTTGTACTTAATTGTTACTTTCTCATTCAAGCAATTAACCACTACTGTCATCTACTTGTATACATTCATCTTTCTACTCAAGTCCTTTTTACATTTTAAGCACTTACCATTATCATCATCCTTGTGTTGATTTGTCTACTTTTTCTATTTCTATATAAACTATAAAGCTCACAAATATCTTCGTTCAAGATAGTTATGCATATTATACAGCTACTGATAATCTACTAATACCAATATAGATATATGCTTCATCGATCATCTCATTTACACTTCTATCATGTTAGTATGAAATTCCATCATTACGCACATATGTAAAACAAAGCTAAAACCACTAATAAATCACGGAACAGAAAGCAATAGGCCATAATCCCAATCACTACTCAACTTTTAGTATTGAAAGCATCATAAATACCAAGTTACGTCTAGAATCTAAAGCCCCCACAAACCAACCCATAATACACAATGATACAGATTTATCAACCTGTCCTAAACCTACTCTGATAGAAATCCCATTACCATCATCGCACAAACACCCAATTATATGCAAAACCAAACCAATCAACACAGATTTCCCAAACAAAATCCCTCGCCATCACAGTAAAACCCATACATACCCAAAATCGCCAAACCCCCAAAAATCAGAAACCCCACAAATCTCACCTGAAGTCAAAACTTCCTCTGCGGTAAAAGCCGCCCGCGACACCGCCTGTATTCGCCTGCGGCGAGCTCTCATCCCACTCGGATCCGACTGCTTCCATCTCTCCCGTCCTCCACCAGATCGAACAAGAAAAACCAAAATAAAGAAAAAAATCAGAACTGAACAGAAGCCCAAGAAACCAAATAACCCAAGACATAAAAATCAAAACCCTCACCTGTCAATAGACCGTCAGTCGCCGCCCTTCCTTCTCTCTGCTCCTCCGCCGCCTGTCGCCGCCGGAGACTCCCTTCGCCTAGCAAACCGCCTCCATTTTCCCCCATGGTCCGCGCATTTGCCAAAAACCTAGAAAAACCGAAGAAATAGACAATCAGAACTCTAAATCGACAAAAAATACTTGAGAAGATGACATGCAAACCCGAAAACACCTACCTCAGACCTTGGTCGTCGCCGCTGTCCTCAATCGTCGGCGTTTCCTTTCTTCCTTTCTTCCCGTCATTACCAGGAACGGAGAGAAAGAGAGAAACATAGAGAGGCAGGTAGAGAGGTGAAAAGGGGAAGAATCGGAAGAGAAGCAGAGAGGTGGGGGAAGACCGGCGGTTTGAGTCTGGTCTAGGATTTTGGCTCTCTCTTGCTTTTCTCTCGGGTTTCAGATCAAAAATGGAAGAGAAGAGGAGAAGGAGGAACGAGTGAGCGGCTAGGGTTAGGTTAGGCCTCCAAAAACGTGTTTACACACTCGGACTCTTAAAATGACCAAAATAACCCTCTAATTTCCATTAAATTACCTGCTGCCACCTTCCTTCTGTTGAAAAACGAGACTAAAAAATGTAACCTTGTTGAGTTTCGAACTTTTGACGTATCAGTCAAAATATTACCCACTCCACGGATATAACCACTAGGCTGGTCTCCTGCCAATTGCTTCAGAAATAAACTGTTTGATTTTTAATCGTAAACTACCTTAATACGTAAATCGAATCGAATGTTATACGATCCTCCGCTAGGTTAATACCAAAAACCTATCTCTTGAAAAATGTTATGATACTCAACTCCCATTAGAATTATCAACTTTTAAAAGTCATCTTTGCTCGTTTACATATTTTCCCCTAAGAGTCCTTAATACGAAACTACGGTCAATAGACAGTGGTTTCTTTAGTCAAACTCATTAACAATTATCAATAAATTGGTTGTTAAAGAAAAAATATCAAAACTCTTTTCCAAAAAAAAACTCAATCTCATACATTAACACAATCAATAGAATGTGTGAAATTTCATATTTCAAAATGTTTCAAAATAAACGAACTACATGGACTTTGATCCCGGCTACTCGGGTACGCAGGCAACCAATAGGTTCGAGTCCAACTAACCAAAAAACTCTTTCTTTAATTTTGAGAATTACGTTAATAAATGTATGATCAAAATTAATAACCAACACATAATTAACCGCATTATATAATTAAATACGTAAATAATGCGCAAATTATAATACACCCAACTCTTAAAAACTTATCGATTTAAGTAGTACCCATCCTGGGGCGTTGTGGGGTGTGAATACACTTCCCCACACGTAACCGTACTCCCGAACCCAAATTTCTAAAATTTCGCGGACCAGATCCCAGTTCTGACTCTAAGGTCGAGACCGAACCACAAAGGTGTTCGATCCACCACATTGTACGATCGATGCCGACTCCGATCAGTTCGCGACGAATCCCCCGATCTCGAGGGGCGGTTGCGACCCATAGTTTGGAGAGGTGGTGAACCGAGTAACGGTTGTTTGATTAGAAGTCAAAGGTGTATTGATCGAATCAACATCGCCGACACCGGCGGTGGATATTTGACAGTCATCTTGGTTTCTGTTTAATCGATCAAATCAACGGCGCCGACATTCGGTGGCGGATATTTGACGATTTTTGCTGACTTTGGGTTTTTGTTTCCTTGAAATCAGAGCGCATTGAACGCGCGAGTTTCGCCAACGAAACCCTCGCTCGTACCACATGCATTTATATAGCAGTTGGCGTACGAGTTGGGATATGTGGGCACATTTCTTTTCTTTGAGCCGTGTATTTTTAACAAATATGCTCAGAAGGGTATCATTTGGATATGGCATTGGCGGTCACGAAAGAAAGGCCAATTGTTGTTGTGTGTCCATCTTCTACATCGTAGAGATCGTATACTAATTTTGGGAATCAGCCGTCGTCTCATTTCAACTATACTAGTGCCCGAGGCAACTCTACTTTTTGGTACATGTAAACAAACAATATTTTTGTAGATAAATGCAAACATGATAAAGAGTACCCCCAATAATGTGAACTTAGTTTATATTGTAAATGTTTTTTATCTTTGTGAGGATAAGCGGAGTTTAAAGTATTTGAAAACACGTAAATTATACTATTATTATATCCTAGACACAATTTACATCCTTTTTAGTATATTTTTAGTGATTTTTACCTTAGATTTACTTCATATTGTTCCAATCGATCGGCATTTGATAGATTTTATGCGTGTTTTTATGTCTTTTGTATAGTTTTACGTGATTTTTCGAGCAAAATATTGTAAACGAGAAATATTAGATTGGACCAGAGGACCAATTGCATGAAGGATAAGAGGTTCAAAAACAAGTTAATCAACACAGAACCAGCTTTAGATTAGGTGGGCCAACAGTCGCCTAACCCGTAATTAATCCCAAGAGGAGATTAAAACCCAATTTTGGCTACAAAAATCAAGTTCGAGGAGAAATCGTGGTACACGGAGTTTCGGAAGGGACAGACCTCCAAAGAACTCTAGTTTCACTTGACATATATAGGATGGAAAGCCCAATGTTATGGGACAATTCAAGTACTACATTGGAAATACAAGAGAAGGAATCCTTGTACATTAGTGTCCACCAAGCTCATTAGTACGAGGCCTTTTGGGGAGAACACCCAAAAAGTAAAACCGTGCTAGCTTGGCCCAAATGGAACAATATCATACTAATGAGCAGCCCGATTATGACAAGTGGTATCAGAGGGCGGAGAAGAAAATGATGTCCCCACCTTGACTTCACTTCAAACGCAAATCAGTCTTAATACTATTATGGGAGTCCTTACTATACAAAATCTGAAGCTACAAAACTGTCCAAAACCCAGCCCCATATGTCCGATCCACAACAGATCTGATGGAGAAACACACAGGCGTAGCCCCCTCATTTACCACCAATTTATGATCGTACGCCTACTACAAATTAGTCAAGCAGCAAAGAACATTGAGTGATCAACAGAAGCCTAACCCTAATAAGTCCGAAATCACTTCACCTTCAAAAACATGGGGAAAAGCGGAGCAGTCAAGGGAACTCCAACGAGAAAAAACAAAGAACAGAGCAATCAAGGGAACTCCAACAAGAAAAGAAAAAAAGAAAGAAAGAAGGTAGCAATTCATAATCTGAAGTTTTGTACTCTTTGATGATCCTGATATGAACAGATATGATATTGAAATGAACTTATAATGAACCTGATATGAACTTATACGATTCTTATATGATATTGAAATGGGGTGATATGCACTGATATTATGTTGAAATGAGTTGATATTTAGCTTATTTGCTATTGATATGGAATAACATGATATTGATATGAATGTTGTATAACTAATAAGATCCTTATATGAATTGATATGATAATAATATGGACTGATATGATCTTGACATGAACTTATATGAATGAGTTTATATGAACTCATATGAGGCGATATGAAAATTATATGAATGGATATAATATTGAAATGATAATGATATGAATTTATATGTGCTAATATGAGAAATGATAGTGATATGAATCAATATGAACTTATATGAACTGGTCTCATAATGCAAAACAAATTATGAAAGTACAACTTCTTATTCGTACAAGAGCCATCCCTGAAAGAATATATGATCTTGTTAAGAGAATAACGGATGGAATGATACAACAGCTAGAAACAATTGGTTTTGAAGGAACCACTAAGTTCAAGTCTTCAAGATGATTAAGAGAAACATACATGCACTAAAGTACGTTCTGAGCAAGTACAACATGATCACAAAAACAATAATATTGCTACATGGTACTAAACTTCCCATTACACTAGAGGATGTTCTCAAAATTTAGGGTACTAAGCAATAATATTTACTGACATTCCAATAGGACAGAAAAAGTAATCGTGCAGAAAATTTTCACTACAAAAGAGACAGAAAGATGCCTTCAAAGACTTGGATTGGAACTGGAAGTAAAAAGTTTGTCAAAAGTAAAGTTGGATGACATTAAAGACATGAGGATCAATAAAGAAACGACCTGTCAACATGGCTGCAACTATTGTGGCTACTAATAACACGTGGACTTTACTGCATCAGTACTAGCATTTTTGCTGAGTTACCAATGATCCAGTTTTTTTAAGATGACAATAAACATGAATTCAAAGAGTAAAAAAAACTTAGCTCCAAAAATATCAAAATGGATATCATCTTGTAGAGTACAAAATTTTGATTTTTTATGCAAATTTTTTTAAAATACGATGTAAAATGAATGAGTTAAGGTTCGTTGAATTTTCGTAGCATATTTGAAAAGTCTTTAACAGCCGAATGGAAATCCGCGCCGGTCCACCCTAAATCTGGTCAGCTTCCCCTAAATCCCTTATTTTCCGGAAAAATCCAAAACTATCACTGTTTAAAAAAAAATTACAAAAATTCCACCCATTCCCAACAATTTCCAAAAATACCATCGTTTATTTAAAACCGCGCCTCTAATGGGCCGTTAACATAGAAATCGCGCCTCCTGGCAGCGGCTTACAATATAACCGCCTCGCCAACAGGCGTTTTTAAATTCCAGCTAAAACCGCTCCTGGAAGGCGCGGTTATATACTAACCCTACCACAAAACGCTTCAAGAGAAAGCGTTTAAATATCGACATGATAAACCGCCCCACCAGCCGACGGTTTACCATGTCCAGACATAAACCGCTGCCCCAACGCGCGGTTTGTGCCTGGTCACCCGACAGCAGACATGTCGGCATGTCATTGTCCTTTGTGATTTTATGTTAGTAACTTAATTACTTTTCATTGTCCTGTGTGATTTTATGTTAGTAACTTAATTACTTTTCATTGTCATGTCCCTCTTGTATTACTTTTCATTGTCCTTTGTGATTTTATATGAGTAACTTAATTACAGTTTTATTGCAGATGGCATTCCAAAAGTTCACCCTTGGGTTGCGGTGGAATGGTTACACGGAAGAGACCGAAAAGGGTGTAAGTTACTTCGGTGGCAATTTTTATAAAATGAAGGTCCATACGAGACCGATGCTTGAAGAGCTCCATCAAATGTGCACTCAGATTACCTGCATGGATGGCGTTAGAAGAGTTGATCAAATGGTGTATCGATATCCAAACAGACATGACGGGTCTCTGTGGAATGAGGAATTCCTCCTTACCACTCAAGAGGACGTTGATGCCATTGTCCAATTTTTGACCACCAATAAAATTAAGCAAGCCGAGATGTTCGTTTACACCGAGGTCGGCGAAGGCAGTGTAGGTCATTCTGGAGATGGCCAATCATCTGGTATCCACGGTGGGAGTGTATTATACGAAGATCATCCCCACCAGGATTTCCAAGACTCGAGCTGGAGGCAGGAGTATCATCATGGAACTGGAGGTCATCATCAATCCTTCCCTTCATATGAAGAAGAAGCTCAACAGGCGGATCACAACCAACAAGCAGGCTACCAGTACCCACCCGAGTACAACTTCTATCAAAGCGGTGTTAGTTACCACAGCTACCATTACGGAGCTGGTGAAGGTGAAGGTGCCTTTCATGATGATAATCAGATGAAAGAAGAGGTCAATCCAAGTCCAGTTAGTGACCCTGAGGTTGAAGAAGAGGAAGGCGAAGTTAGTGCAGACAGCTTCGATCCGCTAGAAGGTGCTAATGATTCCG